CTGCTCTCTCTTCTCTCCTCTCTCTCTTTCTCTTGTTTACAACACACATATACATACATGCATATATATACTATATTACACACACAAATCATATATATATCTACCCTTGAATCCCATATATATCGATTATACACTGGTATACTCACGCCTCTGCGACGCTGTCTCACTCACACCTCTTGCCTCTTCTCTATAGCCTTTGTCTCTATCGCTAATCACTGCAAGGGTTTGCCTGGATCATCGCTTTGTCTCCTCGACCAGGTATGTTCCTATATTTAGCATCTCTCTCTCCTCCTCTATATGATTATTCCCTCTCTGATTTCTCTACTTCTCACCTTCTATAATGTCTCATCTTCTCTGATATCTTCCCTCTCTCTTTCTCTTCATGTGATCTCTCGGTTACAAATGCCTACAGCGCACATCTCACCATCGAAACAACACACAACTATTATACTTATCATTATATGTTATTATCTCACAGAATCATAATAGGAAAATGCTGAAAATTAGGAATATTATGAAATGTGATTGAAAATTTAAAAAATTCCTGGCAAACATGTTATGTAATGTTGGTGTAAACAAATTACGGATATGGCTAAAATTAGGGCAATCAATTTACCATATGTTGTAAATTAAAATTAAGATAAATAAACATAAAACATGTTTAATTTGACCAGAATGGTGGGCAATATCATTACCATATGCTGTAAAAGAAAATCTAAAAAGAGTTTATTGGTGACGAATAATCACTTTGTCATAATAACAAGTACATATGACGAAAAAATTCGTCCCTAAACTTGTTCCATATTTTATATTTCAATTTAAATTATTATTTCACAAATATCCCTGCTCATATCCCAATAACCTTCTAAATGTACTAAGAAATCCACTAACTATTATACACCGCTCCACAAAAAAATTCACTAAACAATTTATATTATAAATCAAAATACATCCATCAAACAAATTTAATAACAATTCATTAACTATAACAAAGACCAAATCACAGCAAATCCCAAAATGAACTAAGTATCAGTCCACAAAAAAAATCAACACTTGATCTTGAGCTGCAAGTAGAACTAAGTATCAGCCCAAAAAAAAAAATTAACACTTGATCTTGATTTGCAAGTATGCTTCCAAATGTCATCAAAAATCAATCTGTGAAGAAAATAAAAAAAGAAAACATTAATATATTATCAATTACATCTAAACTTATATATAAATAATTTTATATATGAGTAAACCAATTTAGCAAAAATGCATTTTCTACCGAAACTTGACTTTCATCTGTACTAAATCACAAAACAACAGCTAATCTAATTGGGGGCAAGTTCTTGCAAGTTATATGAACACCTATGAACCTGCCAATATTGAAAACAATCAAGCAACATGATGACTTTTATTGTCATATAGAATGATTCAATGAAACTTGGATCTCTCTTGTACTGACTCCAGTTTTCTCCACAAATTTCACTATCTACCAGTGGATGTCCCTTTGATACAACTTCACTATCTCAATCACTGTTTCTCTAACTTTTCTTAGAAAGAAATGAGAAATACTGATATGGTTTGATTGTTTTTAATGGGTTTTCAATTTCACAAAATTCGAACTAGGATAGATCGACATAAACAATATAAAATTAAGCATTTCAGTATCCTATCTTATGATCATTTTCAATGTTTCAATGTTTGTACTAGCAATTAAACAATGTTGCAAAGTTTCTCTTGATTTTAGACACTTCAGCAAGTGTTGATCTGGCTATGTCGTTAATGCAAGAGGGATTGGCACATAGGTTCCTTATTGGTAAAAGGTAGCCTAATTGAGTTTGACAGTGTAACTTTCTTAAACATATGTGCTTCAACCAATATATACTAACCAACACGAGAAAAATGAAAAAGTAAAGCAAGATAGACTTACCAAAAAGGCGATCTACGAGTTCATAGGATGCCCCCTCCCCTAAATTGTCCGTTGAAACCTTGTTTCTTAAGAAACTCCATGATGCTTGACGTCATCTCCAAATGCTCCTCACTCGACTCATTCATCTTCACTATCACATTATTCTGTGCTTGAATTTTCTCTTTTTGTGATTGAATTTCATGTTTCTGTGCTGTAATTTCCTTCTTTAAATACAAAATACAATCCAAAGAAATCACATATAGGACACTGCATATCTCATTAGTTTCGAAAAATTAGGGAAAACATTAATTCTAAAAATTAAAAAAAAATAATCATGTAACTATAGATATCATGAGCCAATAAAACCTGTGATAACATCATAAATGATGATCAAGTCACATTGCAATAAGAAACAAGAAGAGAAGCTTCAAGGAACTACAAATGAAGATGACAAGTTTGCACTTCACATAAATATAAGAAAGGTGAAGTAAAACACCTTAGTTTGGGTTTGGGAACTTGTGTACGGTTTTGAGACCTCTTATTTCCAATCCATTGCTGTCTTGTCTGATTCTGAAGAACAAGACCTGGACAAATGAAGGATTAAATTTAGTAGACAAAGAAGCACACTACTGGAGAAGTCTCATACGAGAGTCCCGTTAAAATCTCTTTGTGGCCTAGGGGAGATGCAAAGCATTCAACTTAACATATCAGTAATATAAAACATGTATTATGGAAGTTACTACATGCTTGTTAAATCAAAGCAGCATGGATATTGGGGCATTTTCAAAATTTGATCAAATGCCCAGTCTCCAGAGTCCACAGACCAAAAATAGAAAAAAAAAAAAATAAAAAATTAGTGGTTCCAACCATACATTTATCCAAAGAACCACCACTAATCTAAATAAAGATTGATAATCATCTAGTTCACAGTTTTGGGGCCTAGAAGATATCTTAAGAGGATGAGTAGAGGTGATTTGTTAGAGGTGATGAGTAGAGGTGATTTGCAACCTGGCACGAGGTCTTGGAGAAGCTTCATTCTTTCACTGATCTTCTCCTTTTGAACCTGCCCAAATACCCGAAAATCGCAACGTTAATGCTAAGCTTGCCGTGGAAGAATTGGAGCGAATGATGAGAGAATTGGGCTGTGATTCTTACTCTTTCAGCAAGGCTATGGCTATCAGTAGCTTGACCTCTTCTTGCTCTTACATGAATGTAGTCCTTTGGGGGCTCGGGAGGCTTCTGGTTAGACTTTGTTTGTTTCTCATCCTCATCCCCTATTTTAACACTATCATTTTCGCTCCCACTGCCTTCATTGGGTTTGAATCGCTTGGTGTTCGGGTCATCCTTTGCCTCTGCTGCCTGGAAGAACAGAATTGTTAGAATTCTCGACTGAATCAAAGAAAAAAGAAGTTAAAAGAGTGTGTTTTTAATTTTTCTTGGTAATTCATATACCATTGTGGCATTGACAGAATTGGATTTTCCCCTCAAACCTTCTTTTCTTTTCCCGGAATTAGAAGAAATTGGATTTTTCAACACCGCTTCGCCATTTGGGATTTTCTCAGAAACAGAGGAACCCTCATTAGTACTTGCAAATTCAGTTCGATCTGAGGTAGCAGACTCCAGAACTTTCCTGAATTTTGTGTCTGAGCCAATTGACGACCTCATTTCCATTTGGGTTTGTGTTGAATTCTTGTTTTCTTGAGCACCCACGGAAGATACAGCTGCCTTGATAGAAGGACTTCTCGAAACTCTCGGCAACTTCACACTTGCCATCAATGGACTCAATCTGTAGGGCAATTCACCATTGTTCAAACCCAATTGGCTCGTTCTTCCATTGAAACTCCGACTTCAATATTTTCTTAAAAGAGGTAACCGGTGAACAAAATTGTAACCGGTTGAGAGGGTATTCAATATTTTCAATCAAATTATTTGATGGTTGAGATTAATTTATAAATATCTAATGGTTTAAAATAAATGTGTATATGATGTGCACTATTTTATAAGGTGCACATCTTAACAGCTCCCGGCATAATATCATATGAAGAAGTCAATGCCATGTGATTGAAAATAATCTCAATTCTTATATTATTTTTCTCAACTTCGTTTATATACTCCTACTAAATTATAATGTTTCAACTAATTACACACACTGAGATCCATAGCTTATGATGAAACTAGATCGACGGAGGAAACAAGCTCTCTTTCAGATCCTTACACTTCGGCTAAAGGAGATTACTTGGCTATAGTTGCTTCCTTTCTTTCACCTGAACTTGCAAAGGTTGGGCGGATTCTTCGGATAAACCTCCTTTATTCTACCTGGGTCTTTTTTGTACCTTCGTTAGCTTCCTATGAAGCCAGTTTGCCTCTTTGTACACCTTCCCCCCATCCAATTCGGTGTCTAGCCTCTTTGTCATAGAGTTCATGTGGAGAACCACTTTTAAGCATGAGTTGAGCACTGGACCTCCAAAGTATGGGCAGTAGTAATGGTTCAAAAAATGCAGGGAGGAGCATAGAAAGAGCCTGCCCCATCGTCCAAGTACTAAACAGACCTTAAACTAGAGCCAGGAGGGGATGTGGGCTCCATTCCCTTGTGAGACCATACTCATACATATAGTTGGAAAAAAATTGGTATTTCAAAAGATCTCTATCATTTTTGCAGCCAAATAAGTTTTATATGGCATCAACTTCATCAACAAAATTAGACCTATGCCGCATGCAAGAATTCGTAGAACACCTCAAGAAACAAAGCTCTTGGGTTTAGTCTTCATTCTCATTCTCTTCCAATGATCTCCCCATGGTCTCGCGTGTAAACAAGCAAGTTGTGATCATTCCCACGATGCAGGCTCCACCCAGAACCACCAATCCAGCTGCCATCCAACCCAGATAATTAGAATGCTTGTTATCAAGGTTGTCTTTAGAAGCCCAAAAAAATCTAACAGACCCATCAATCGCTCCAACCTTTCCAAAAGCCCCCAAAATTCCATGGCATGTCGATCGAAATCTTGCTGGAAAAAGCTCTACAGGGACTATAAAAGTGGTAGTGTTTGGTCCAAAATTTGGAAAGAAAAATGTGAGGCCATATAGAAACAAAAATCCTCCATTGTGTGGTTATACCAGTATGCAATGTAGGGTATCTCCATAGCAAGCAAGGCAAGAGCCATGAAAAAGAAGCCCACGATCTGGATTTTGGCTCTGCCAATGTGATCAATGAAAAAGACAGTGACCTAATATCCTAGAATTGTTGAGCAAACTGCAAGCAGTGCTTGGAATCTTGCAACATTATAGGCATCTTGATACCCATTCAAATTCTTCCTTTCAAGGAGATATTGGTGATTTAACTGAGATTGGACAAGGTAAGTGTTATAAAAGACAACGTCAACCAGAAACCATGGAAGAATGCTTTGGAAAGGAATGGGTAATCAGATGGAGGAGGATGAGATGGGAACTCAACATCCTTTACAATCTGACTTAGGGAAACTTCTAACACTTTCTCCATGTCCTTGGTTGCTTGTAGGACATTCTGCTGCACCAAGGCTGTGTATCTACGAGGAGTAAATAGACAAGATTAGAATGATATTGAATACACTTGTAAAGGGTTGTGTTTATAAGAATAATCAGTAAGTATATACAGTTCTTTTATATGCCTAAAATTCAAAAGGGACACAACGTTCTCATATGAGATGTGATTCACATTTTATAGATCCCACCTCGATTATATCTGATTTTGTGATTGGATTATAAGAACTTGAAACATTTTGTATATATGTATATGCAATGAAATAAAACCTTGACAAAAGTAAGTAAGATGTACTAAAGTGGCATTGGATCTTATTTAAAGCAAATTTACATCTCTCCAATCTACTATCGAAATTGGAGGGTGTTGTTTAGATATGTAGAATCCATTATTGGTCTCATTTTGATGAACCAAAATATTCATTTTGTTGGGTCTTCTGTTATATCATCCATAAAAATAAAAAAAAAAACAAAATTAAGTCAATTTAATAATCGTAATCCCTTAATTTCATCTATCTACCCAAAAAAATGGTTTTTTTTTTTTTTTTTGTGTGTGTGTGTGTGTGTGTGTGTGTGGAGACAAACACAATAAATAAAGAAGTTGTGATTATCAAATCAATCTAATTTTTTTTTTTATAAAATAATATACACAAAAGTTCTTATAAAATGAACTGTTAGATCATCAAAATAAAATTTGTGATGAACTTCACTAACTGAAATAACACCCTTCAGTCTAGATTGTGGATTAAAAAGATACACAACCCTATTTTAAAATACGAAACTTATCATAAAATATTGAATATATAAGCATGTTATCATCCCATAAATTTTTTTTTTAAAAAAAAGAAGCAATTACATAAAAATTTTGTTTTATTATATTTATGTGATAATATTTCCTATTTAGCAGTCATATGTGTATTCATCGCATAATGTAATCAATTTGGGTGTTAGGTATTTTACAAATAAAAATTTTATCAATGTTTTGACCTATACCAAGAGTTATAAAACAACATTCTTAATACAATCGGTTTATGTGCAAACTAATTGTCATTGTCATCAATATCAACACTACAACAATCTGTACTTTTGGTGGCTAAAAATAATATTAGTCCGTATTGTTTTAGGCATTAGCTACTAACATTTTTTAGTCAAGGAATATTACTTATTGGCGACTAAAAAAAATTTAGTCGCTAAATATTACACAATAGGTGACTAAACAAATTTTGGTCGGCATTTGTTTAGGTTTTAGGATACCAAAGTATGTTTTTGTCGTGGTATATCAGTTTTTGCCTACTGAAAGAAATTTAGTTGCCAAATAACCAACATAATATTTGCAATTAATCTTTGGCGATCAAAAGTTTGGTCGCCAAATATGAATTTTCGATGACAAAAAAATATTTAGTCGTGGTCTATCAATTTTTTACTAACTAATTTAGTCGCCAAATAACTAGTTTAATTATTGCTATTAATTTTTTACGACCGAACTTTTGGTCAGCATATATTTATATGCTGTGACAAAAAAAAAATCTAGTCGTTGTATACCAATTTTTGCCTACTAAAAAACTTAGTCGCCAAATATTAATGAAATTTTTTTACTTTTAATCTTCGCCTATGAAAAATGTGGTCAGCAAATACTTATTTTCAGTGAGCAAAAACAGTTAGTCAGCAATAAAACTGAAAAATTTCATAAAACACACAGATTTATTTTTTGGTGGGAATACTTTCACATTACCGCCCAATTTATTAATTATGATTTATTTTTTATTTTTATTTTTTTCATATTTTTCTCTCATTACATACACCTAAACAAGTTTAGTCTGTTGCTCTCTCTCTCTCTCTCTCTCTCTCTCTCTCTCTCTCTCATGGACTCACCATCGCTGATTCGCATTCATAGTCACCGCCAGTCTTCCACCGTCGAACATCATTACATTGCCACCGCCGCTCGCATCGCTTTAACATTGAGGTTTTTGATAAACCACCAGAACAACCATCATCAGATCAACAACAACCATTAGATCAACTTCCTAGATTAACTGAACAACTAATACAGTTAGAGTTAGTTAGGTTATTATTTTATTGGAGTTAATAAACTGTTAGATGTTGAGTTTATATAAACCATGGTTAGGATATAAGACTGGTTGTATATATAGATCAAATACATTACTGTATGAGTTGAATGAATTCAATAATACCAAATCTCTTTATGGTATTAGAGCTGATTTAGCTTCAACAAGCTGTGGTTCTTCTTCAACGGCAGATTTGTGATCCATAGAGTCACAAATGTCTTCATCAATGGCTGATGTTGATTCTCCTCTTCCATCAAATCTTTCTC